CCGCTGAAACACACGATTGCTGTCAACACCTGTTGAGTGATAGGGAAAGACTAAATGCCGAGAATTCGCGGTTAAGGGATATGTGCGAGAAATCTGTAAGTTTTTGTTTGTAAATGTACCGTTAATGGTGGGGTATAGTCCGCCTCCACACATCCTAATTTTTTCTAGATTATTTTTTAATTGGTTTAAACATTATTAATATGCACAGGTCATTTTAACTTGTTAACGAAATACTATATTTTTATTTTGTAGATACTATCTCAAGTAATTTACAGCTAAAACATAATTTAAAATTATTAATTTTAATTAATCCCAATAGTTTTAATTAAATATGATAATTACAATTAAAAAATGCTTACATTTGTATACTTGTAGTCAATGGCAGGCGTGATAGAGAGGGCCCGGAATCGTCTGAACAACTATCACATGGAGAGCAAGTTTACCGATATGTGCGACAATCGGCGCCGACTGGCCATCACTGTATCCATCGATGCCATACTCCGAACAGATAGTTACGAGTCAATGGCCACACATATAACTCACGCCTTTAACGGGACCGAGGCTTATAACTGGGAACAGACGGTCCGCTGGCATTGTGTAGTTTACGGCCGGAGTGGCGGCTATTCGGCAATAGTGTCGGCCGACCAATATTTCCGGGTGTCGTTTGGCGAACTCGTAATTGTAATATTTGGCTTTAATCTTGTTTAATTTTGTAAATAATAATTAATAACAAATTTATTTGTTTAACAATTAACTTATATGTAAGAGACTATCAATGATAGTACTGCATATTTAAATTACATTAATTATTATACTGTTGTTTGGGTACAATGAACATATAGCTAAATAGTTACTAACATAATTTTATTACAATAAAAACAAGTTTTATATAATATCCAAGTTGGTTTACTATAAATACAATAATTTTATAATAACTAGAGTGTTATATTCAAAAATCAATATAATTATTGAACATGCCCATAAGACCAAAATCTTTCTAGCAAATATTTTTAAATCAACAAAATCTAACGTGGATAATTCAGTTCGTACGCCACCAAATATATTATGGCTATATTTGTCATTATTAAAGTCCACATTAAATAATTTAAAATATAAGCGCTTGGTCCATTGATCCATCAAGCCAGATTTTAGTACGTTTGATAAACTACAAGTTTCAACAACAAAAAATTATTATAACATTAATTATTAGATAGCTAAATAATTTTAATTAAAAATATCTACAATTTGTTTAACTCGTGTGTATATATTGAATGTTTTTGTAAACCAATGGATATTAAATATGTGGAGAATTGTGTGTCAATCGATAGTTTTGGTAATGTTTGCCGTCGTATGCGATAGTAATGCAGGAAAAACTGCAGTGTATTTCTAATGGCAATTACTGAATAAATACGATCATGGTCATTTAATTTGTGTATCAAATCTACTATTACACCATGTTTAATATGGCGTCCAATTCTAGAGTAATATACTGATTCTTTACTCTAAAATTTATATAATAAATAAATTTATTAATTTAATTTTATATACAGGAATCTATTTTTATGTTATTTCCGCTAAGCTTACTTTACCTTAATTAACGATATATAATGTGCATTAGTCGATAGTATCTGTAAATATTCGGATTCTTGAGCGTCAGCCAAGTGTTCAATGGTGTGAATCCAATGCCCACTATTGCTGGCAATTATTGAATAAACACATCCGCCGTATAGTGTACTCAACACTACACATGACAGCAATAGTGTTGA